ACTACACCCAGCCCTCCAATGCACTTTAAATCACCTCTAGATTACTTACAATACCTCATACAAGGTAAATGTTATATAGATAGCTGTTCTTTTAATTTGTATTTTTTTTGGTCATATTATTACTTTATTACTTTTTTTTCTTTTCTTTTCTTTTTTTTGAGACGGAGTCTTGCTCCGTCACCCAGGCTGGAGTGCAGTGGCGTGATCTCGGCTCACTGCAAGCTCCGCCTCCCAGGTTCACGCCATTCTCCTGCTTCAGCTTCCCGAGTAGCTGGGACTACAGGCGCCCGCCACCACGCCCAGCTAACTTTTTTGTATTTTTTAGTAGAGATGGGGTTTCACTGTGTTAGCCAGGATGGTCTCGACTCCTGACCTTGCGATCCGCCCGTCTCGGCCTCCCAAAGTGCTGGGATTACAGGCATGGGATTACAGGCACCGCACCCAGCCTGATTATTACTTTTAAAAGATACAGATGGAGTATCGATATGTAGTACAGGCTGGAGTATAGTGGTTATATTCACAGGCACGATCCCGCCACTGATCAGCAGGGGAGTGGTGATATATTGTTTTTCATTGTTTTTTCCACATATATACTATATATATATTCATATTTGAGATAGAGTCCCACTCTATCACCCAGGCTGGAGTGCAGTGGCACGATCTTGGCTCACTGCAACCTGTATCTCCGTGGTTCAAGCAATTCTCCTGCCTCAGCCTCCCGAGTGGCTGGGATTACAGGCACATGCCACCACACTCAGCTAATTTTTGTATTTTTAGTAGAGTTGGGGTTTCGCCATGTTGGCCAGGCTGGTCTCGAACTCCTGACCTCAGGTGATCCACTTGCCTCGGCCTTCCAAAGTGCTGGGATTACAGGTGTGAGCCACCGCGCCAGGCCCACAGTCATTTTTGAAGGAGGGCACCTGCATTTTCATTGTTCACTGGGCCCTGCGAATTATATCGTGAGAAAGGGAAAAGAAAGAAATTAAAGAGAGGGAGGATTTGAAGAGGAAGCAAAGATGAAGGAAAGCATAAAGCAGAGAGAAATAAATATTAACAGATTTTGGACACACACAGAGAAAAACTGAGAGGCAGAGACAGGATTGGAGGAGACCAGGGAGACGGCGAATCCCAGAGAGTGAGACAGAGAAGAGATCCCAGAGCCACAGAAAGGCAGCACTCACCTGGAGTCCGAAGGAGAGACAAAGACAGGGGAAAAAAGAAACCAAGAGAGGCAGCTCTGAGCGAAGCAGAGAGAGGCCTCAGAAGCCAGGAGCGGCAGAGGACAGAGGGAGGAGACTGAGTCCAAGGTATGGGAGAAGGGCCGGGTCCAGGCTGTGCGGGTCCCAGCCGGAGGTGGGGCCTCACCTGTGTGCCCGTCTGGCCTGCATGGGCCAGGGCAGTTCCCGGGAAGGGTGGGGGTCCTGCAGCTCCATCTGGGTGACTTCTGTGAAGGCCTTTCTGCTCCTTTCTCCAGCCTCCTCCTCCTTCTCCTCCGGTGCCCCCCAAGGCAGCGCCCCAGGGCCTTGGTACCGAAGGGTGGCAGCACTGGGCAGCTCGTTCAGCACAGAGGACAGCGATGGGCCTGGGGAGGTGCAGGGGGCTGGGAAGACCCGGGAGTCTGGACCCAAATTCCTCCTCCCTCAGACCAGGAAACCAGGCCTCAATCTCCTCTTCCCTCAGACTCAGGAGTCCAGACCCCCAGCCCCTCCTCCCTCAGACCCAGGAGTCCAGGCCCTCAGCCCCTCCTCCCTCAGACCCAGGAGTCC